GAATGAGAGGTACATCAATGTCCTCTTCAATATCCATCACCACGAAATCAGCGGGAAACAAGAAACGGTCCACCTTCACCAGAACATCCTCCACAATGCCATGAGGATACTTCACAGATCGATCAGCTAACTGCAAAGTCATGCGAGTTGGCTTCACTTCCAAATCACCAATCCTCTGAAGCATAGATAAGGGCATAAGATTGATGCTAGCCCCCAAATCAAGTAAGGCCTTCCCAATAGCTAGACTCCCAATAGTGACTGGAAGAGTGAAACTACCAGGGTCCTTGGATTTTGTTGGCAACATCTTCTGAATAATGGCACTACACCCCGCCTCCAATGTGATAGTCTCCTCTTCAAAATACTTTCTCTTCTTGGTGAGGAGATCTTTCATGAACTTGGCATATGTAGGCATTTGCTCTAATGCCTCGGAGAACGGAATGTTAATCTGCAAGGTCTTGAAAATCTCTAAGAACCGAGCATATTGCCTCTCCTTATCCCTTCTTGAAGGTGCATGAGGATACGGTAAGCTCTTGGTGGGTGGTACCTTCACTATACTCCTCTCCTCCAAGGGTGCTTTATTTTTTTCTCTACTGACTCCTTCTTTTTCTTTTTCAATCTCTTTCTCTTTCTCATTCTTTTTGGTATTTTCATTTTTCTTCTTATTTTCATCAACCAACTCGCTTCCTCCACTCCTTCTCAACGCTCCTGGGCCCTCCAAGATGATCTCTTCATCAACACTAGCATCATCTTCTACACTCATATCATTCACCTCCTCGCTCTCCTTTTTCTTCTCATTCTCCTTCACCACAAATTCCCGACCACTTCTTGTAGATACAACATTCAAGTGCCCTTTCGGGTTTTGCTCGGTGTTGGCTGAGAAAGAACCTTTTTGTTGCTCTGCCAGCTGTTTTGCTATTTGGCCCACCTGTATCTCCAGATTTTTAATTGAAGCATCAGTATTCTTTTGATTGGACATAGACAATTGCATGAATTGTTGCAATGTGTCTTCCAACTTAGTGGTTCTTTCATATAAAGGTGGGTGTTGGTGTTGATGTGGAGGCCTGCTACTTGATGAAGCATTCATGTCTGGCTTGTTTCCACCATAGTTATTTCTCCACCCCTGATTTGAATTTTGCGGATAGGGGTGTTGAGAGAAATTTTGCCGCCCTTGATTCCCCATATAATTCACTTCTTCACCTTGGGAATTAGATGAACCGGCACAAAAACCATTAAGGTGGTCACCTCCACAAAAATCACATGCCAATACTTGTTGCATAGGAGGATTATTAGCGTGCATAGCTTGAAATTGTTGAGGAAGCTTGGCCATTTGTTGGTTCAAGGCTTCAATTTGTTGGGAAAGTATCTTGTTTTGAGCTAACACCGCATCTTGAGTACTCAGCTCCAAAACTCCTCTCTTGTGTGAAGAGCTTCTACCATGCTGGCTCCTAAAGTCTGTGGAAGCCATGGACTCAATGATTGTGATAGCCTCTTCAGCAGTTCTGAACATGACTGACCCTCCAAAAGAAGCATCCAATATCATCTTGGTTTGAGGTTGCAAACCATTGCAGAAGGTTTGCACTTGATGTTCTACCTCAAAACCATGGTTGGGGCACCTCCTCAACAGTGATTTGTATCTCTCCCATGCTTCACATAGTGGCTCATCCGCACCTTGAGCAAAAGTAGCAATAGCAGTTCTGGCCTCAGTGTTCTTGGACGGGGGAAAGAATCTGGCTAAGAATTTAGTTTCCACATCCCTCCACGTGGCTAGGCTTTGGTTTGGCTGAGAATGAAGCCAAGCCTTAGCCTTCCCATTCAGAGAAAATGGAAACAACCTCATGAATAGCGCCTCTTCATCAGCCCCAGAAACTCCAACTGAACCGCACAACTCATAAAAAGTGTAGAGATGAGTATGTGGGTCCTCATGGTCCAGGCCAGAAAATTGGTGAGAGCTGATAAGTTGTAGGAGTGCAGGCTTCATCTCTGCTAGTCTGTCATTCCTGGTAGGCCTCACAATGCTAGAGAATTCCCTCGGGCTAGTGTAGGTGAAAGCATCACCTATAGTGCGCCTCCGGTTATGATTGTCACCTTCACCTTCCATGTTGAACTCAGGAATGTCAGAGACAAGAACTTCAGGGATCTGATTGGTTGGTTGGTTGACTGGGTTTGCTCTAGTCCTCCTTATCCTCCTGTTGCTGTTATTCCTCCTTGCAGTGCGTTCAATCTCAGGATCGTTCAACAATGGCTCAGAAGAAGCAGTACCTCTGGTTCGGATAATACCTTGCATACAAGAGAAAACAACAGACTAGAGTGCACAGGTCAGCCCAAAGAATTCATTTGCTAAAATCAAAATTAACAATAAAAGTAAAGTGGAACTTCACAGTTAAGTGTGCTTGACCTGAAGTAGTACAGGAATGGGTGACCTTCTAGGAAGTTTCCTAGAAATTGCACAAGTAAGGATAAAACACGCTAAACAGTGAAATATTGTGAAATAGAATCCTTGAGAGGCCAAATATGAGGGTTGTTACATTAATAAATTTATTAAAATTGAAAAATAATAATAATTTTCGACGGAAAATTCCATCGGAAATTTTCTATGGATATTTTCGTCAGAAATTTCTGACGGAATTTTCTGGCAGAATTTTTCATCAGAAATTTTTTACGGATTAAATTATTTTCGACAGATTTTTTTTTTCGATGCCACTTTTTTCTACGGATTGAAATCCGTCGGAAATTTACCTGTTTCCATAAAAAAAATTCCGTCGAAAATCAGCATTTTTCTTGTAGTGGTCGATGCAAGTACTTAAAATATGATTGAACTCTATGGGTCACCTATGCTCATGGATTGATAGTTTTTTTGTAGCAAGGGATAAACCTAAGAGGCTTTTTAAGAAATGACTAAAAATAATCAAAAGAGCTTAAGTTTAAAGTAAACAATATCTTACTAATATAAAAATATATGCGTATGTGAACCCTTTGGTGCCCAACATTTTTTAGAAGTAGAAAGCATCGCAAAATGAGTTGTGTTTTTCTTAACAAATGAAGTCTTCTCCATATGTATTTTCCATTTACAATACATATATAATATATATCCTCTAACCGACAATCAAAGATTAACTCCTTTCTAAAAATAGGGATAAGAATGGTAAGTTTTGTTTTTCTTAACAAAGTTTTTTTTATATGTATTTTGTTTATTTACAAAGATATACTCTACCCAATGATTAAAGACCAATTCCCTTCTTAGAATAGAAATTAACAAAATGAGTTTTGTTTTTTTTAACAAAACCTTCTTTATATATATAGAAAAAATTGAACAAACATTTATCAACATACATTAAAAAAAAAAAATTATCTATCAGTTGGGTTTGATGGAGATGGTTTTATGCATTACCATTTATCAAGCTTAAAGTTGTCTAGCTGGGGCTTCATAGGTATCTACAATTCAGCAAATGGATGTCACAAACTAAAATACAGACATTACAGTCCACCAACCAACTGGATCATGTGTCAGTTCTGCATGGAGTGAAATCCTAATATACGGATCAATCAATCATACATTTGGCGAATTACGCTATCCAGTTTTGGTAAATGATTTCCTTTTCTCCTTTCCTTTCTCCCCTAACCTTTTGTTATTTTTTGGGTAAACTTCATCAAAGTGACCACAAATTAAGCGGTGAATATGACATTCAACTTAAACAGCCTAATTTGATCCTAACGTTTTTGCAGCTAACAAAAAAAAAAAGTGCTATATGCTAGCCATGACACTTAACTAGACAAGTTGGTTTAGCTAGCACCTAGGGACAATGATAATGGTACTGTTATGAGTAAATCCTAGTTTTGTGAACTTTTGGGAAGTGCTCGATGATTCTATTTGATCAAAATACATAAATCAATTAATAAAACTAGATGCTTTTGCTTGTGTATTAGGTTACTCACCCACTCGTCTTGTAGTCTTTTTGCAACTTACTTTGCAATTGATACGTGTTAGAAATCAAACTATATATCGATCATGTGTTCAAGTTAAATTATTGATTAGTCTTGGTGCGTTTGTGATGATGAATGTGCCTGAGGTTAATTTCGTTCTATTGTTAATTGATTTCCATTATTTACACCTTTTTTTTTTTTTTTATAATCGAACTAAATCATTTTATTTTCTCAAAGCATTCCAACACATCTCATTAGAAGAATAAGATTTAATGTACAATAATACCAATATTCATCTGGGCTTAGACCTTTCTCTCTAAGAAAATAAAATAAGACGACGACTTAGATCTTATATTAAAAATATGGAATCTGGTGTTCAGTTAAAAAGTTTTATCTTCTCTAGTTAACTACTTTTGTAGTATAGTAATTTTCATCAGAAGACTTTTCTTAGTAAAAAAATTAATTCAATGTTATGCATGAAAAAATGCTAATCATATTGTACTTGACTACTTATATATTTGGTTATAGTATAAGTGAAGTTTAATATATACGTGCTAGTATTCGTAAAATTTTATATATAGATATTTTTAAAATTGACTTATATGTACATTTTTTAATTAATATTTTTTGTTTTTACTTTTTTTATAATTAAGTAGAATTTTGTTTTATTTGTTTATATACGAAATATACAAAGAATAACATATTTTATTAAATTAAAACTAAAAATAAATTATTAAGTGAAATAATTTTATCAAGAATGTTAAGTGAAATAAGTAGATCGTTGTAAAAAAAATTATAAATTTAATATTTATTAAGAACTTTTAATTAAGTTTTATCCTTCATATGTTTATGTTTAGAATCTCCATATATATATAATTGATTTTCTAATATACATATAATTAATTTTTTTTATAATAAAAACAAAGTATGTGGTTGTGGACAGAGAAATTAAGTGATTCTTATTCTTTATTTTTTTTTATATTTTTTTTTGTTAGATTTTGTTATTTTTTTTTATTATTACTTTTCTAAAATTAATGACTTATTAATTTTTTTTCCATTTTTATTTTTGATAATTAATGCATGTTTACTGAATAATGTGTCTATTTATTTTTTAATGTATATATTTTTTCTGTAATCACCTAAAGAGTATAACAGAAAATATGTAATAAATATTTTAAAAAATTAAAATATTAATTATTATCTTAATTATTGTGCAGAAAATATGTAATAAATATTTTAAAAGTTTAAAATATTAATTATTATTTTAATTATCGTGCATAACTTAAAAATAATGATAGAAAATTGAGGGAGTATTTTTTGAAAGGGATTGAGGAAGAGTTATTGAATTTGTTTTAAAGGACATAAGTATCGAGATTGTTGAGCACTCAAGTGTCCCATGGCATGCATTGGCATTTCCATAAATGATTGGTCCTTCATTTTGAATTTCATACGTGTCATGGATATGATTGGGCAGTCAAACCCTCATTTATTATTTTTCATAAACCCTTTATCAGTCATCCCGGATCGGGTACGGGTTTTATGATATTTATTTTTGTTCTTGCGATATAAACTCATTCTCGTACTTGTACTTGTACTTGTTAGGTATGTGATTTTCATCCATCTCCGTTCCCGTTGAGTATCGGGTATATCCGTAGCCGTAGCTGTACTCGTACTTGTAAATTTTTTTTATTTTTTATTTTTGCAAAAAAGATATATAATATTTTTAAATTATTTTTCTATTATATTATTATAATTATAATTAGATTACTATAAATACTAAATTGCCTTGCTAATCCCCGGCAACGGCGCCAAAAACGTTTTGAGATTTCCGTTTAAACACTTTTGTTTTAATCTATAAATCAGTTAGATTCTATTAACGGTCTCAAACACGGCAAGTATACCGGCCGTTCAAGTAGTAAAAATATCGTATCCACAAGGATTAGAAGGTAACATAAGCATTTATTGACTATTCGTGACTAAAGAATGATTCCAATTTGTAGTTTGTCATGTGAATGTGAATTAAAGATCATGACTACTGGAATGAAAATTATAAAAATATTTGGTTGTGAGTGGAAAAGGTTAGAAATGATATTGTGGTATTGTGAGGTTGTGGGGTCAGATTTCACCAAACGTTAAACTAATGAATCCTTAATCTCTTGTTAAATTCATTGCTTAGTCAACCCAATAGTTTACTCAAACCTAATCCCTTAGAGCAAGAGCCTAGGTGTGGATATTGAATATCAATCCCTTGAGTATCCAATATCTACACCCGCATTACGGGCTAGGGTTTAAGACTACTAATGGG